AAAAGAAGAAAAGAGAAGAAATAAGAGAAAAAGAAAAGGGAACCACCACGTATCAAGTACCTAATAAATGGCTGAATGCGATTACATGTGCTTGTTCTTTCAATCATCACAACAATCTTGAGGTAGTAATTAGAGTTAAGTAGAGGTGTTAAGCAATTGCTACAAGGTTATTTTCCAAGAGTAAAATTATAAAAATATAAGTGAATCTGGCATCTGCAGATGTGGCAAATAACAAAAGTGTTGAGAAATTTAAAGGACACACAACTCCCATCAGGCTGTAAGGTAATCCAGGTTTTTGGATATGAGACATGGTATAACTGAAAGAGCATGATCTGTGTCTGTGTTGTCTGCATTTGGCATATTTATTGAGCATCTACTGAGTGTCATGTGCAGAGAGGATACAGTGTTGAGCAAGACAGTTCTTTACAGAGTTTGCAGAGGAGGTAGTTAAGAAGCATACAAGCAATTACAGTGTAAGGATAAGATTACCAATAAAGGAAGCACAGGATACTGTGGAAGCACATGAGGTGGCTGCTAATGCAGTGTAGGGTCCTTAAGGAAATGTTCCAGACAGAGGGCTAGAACTGTGTGGTTAAAATATAGTGAGTAATGAGCTGGAGACTGGGCAGAAACCAAATCGTGAAGATCTTTATCAGCCATATTAAAAGAGTTTGGGCAAACCCAAGAATATGGGATTTTGATGGCAGTGAAGCAGTTGAAGGGCTTTAAGCAAGAAAGTGGAATGAAGTGGTGGTGATGTACCTATGGCACTTTAGAAAGACACTTAGGCTGCGGTGTTGTAGGGTGGATTGGAAAATGAAAAGACTAGAAGTATGACATTCAGGTAAGTAGTTAATCTATTAGCCAGGCAAGGTGGCTTATGCTTGTAGTTGCAGTTACTCAGGAGGCTGAGACAGGAGAATTGTTTGAGCCCAGGAGGCGGAGGTTGCAGTGAGCTGAGATCGTGCAATCGCACTCCAGCCTGGGCAACAGAGAGAGACCTTTTCTCAAAAAAANAAAAAATAATTAGCTAGGCATTGTGGCATGTGCCTGTAGTCCCAGCTACTCAGGAGGCTGAGGTGGGAGGATTGCTTTAAGCCCAGAAGTTCAAGGTTGCAGTGAGCTATGATGCTACCACTGCACTCCAGCCTGGGTAACAGTGTGACCCTGTCTCGAAAGAAAAGAAAGAAAAGAAAGAAAGAAAGAAAGAGAGAAAGAGAGAAAGAGAGACAGAGAGAGAGAGAGAGAAAGAAAAGAAAGAAAGAAAGAAAAAGAAAGAAAGAAAGAAAAGAAAGAAAGAGAAAGAAAGAAAGAGTAATCTATGACAGTGGTAATCCAAGAAAATGGTGATGTGTACTTAGGTAGTGGCAATGGAGATAGAAAAGTGGATGGATTTGAGATGGAATACCATAATTTAAGGGGTGGGTAAAGGAGACTCAAATGTGGCCAGAGATCCTGGAGAAAAACCATGAGTATGGTATCATGGAAGCCAAAATAAGAGTATTCCATGAAAAGAGTGACTAACAATGTTAACTACTGCTTCCAGGTCAAGGAAGATCAAGACTGAAAATGTTTACCAGATTTATAATCAAGGTCCTGAGTGACCTTGGCAAAAGCAACCCCAATGGCATGGGAATGAATGGTAGGGCAGAAGTACTGGGATGCAAGTAGACAAAAATTGTTCTGGAAGTACAGAGGTGAGTTATCTAACCTAGTCTTAGAGAAAAGGGAAGGCTTCCTGGAGGAGGCATTACCTAAGTGGAGTACGCAAGGACAAATAGGAGTTGGTCACCTAGAGGCAGAGAAGGAAAATTTAGGCAGAGAATGCTACATGTACAATTGTCCTTTGGGGGCACTAAAAATAACCTGTGACTTTGGGCAGTTACTTCACCCATTTTCTCATGTATAAAATGGCAGTGGATAATATTGATAGTATTTGTCTCACCGAATTGTTGACAAAGATTGAGATTATGTAGAATACTGGTGCACATTAGGGACTCAGTGATAGTTCACTCCCCCCTCATTAAAGTATCACAATGAAACAATACTTAAAGATTTTTAAAAAATGAATTTAATCTCTCTCTAGAAACAGTGCACTGATTTTACAAATGTCCACATTTGGTTTTCAGTTTACCAAGATGATGTCAGTACAGCTAGTGAGATGCAGCACGCCATCTTCAGCCCCCTTGCCTCCGGAAGAGACACCAGACAGCAAAGGGCACACCGCGTACAGAAGCTAACAGAACTTGAATGACAAGACAAAAAGAGCAGAGCCAGTTAGTGCGACACAACATTCTAACATGCCTGATTGTTACATCAAATATGGGAACTTAGGGGCTGGTGGGGGAAGACAAACAAGGAAAATCCATTTAGAAACAATCTGATGAAGTTTGCAAACCAGCACTTTACCCCTAAATTAACAACAGCTTGTATGGAAAAAAAATGCTATTTTAAAAGTATATGGTTTGGACAGGTATTTGTTTTCTCTTGTAGTTTTTGTAAAAAAGTATCAAAACCTTGGCTTTAAATATATATATATGTATATATATACAAGTGGCTTTTTAAAAATTACTTTTTATAGCACAAAGTGTTTGTAAATGCAGAGGGTTTCTGCTGATTCTTGACTGTGCACATGGTGCATAGCCCGAATGAACAGAGCTTCCTGATTTTTTTAATAACTGAAAATTTGAAGTAGTAATTATTTAACCTTCTAAATTCTCCATACCCTAAAAATACAATGTGAGAAGACTGTTACTCTACCTTCATCTATTTCGGGAAAAGGAATTATTTACTCTGAAGCTTTTAATGCCAACTCCTTTATATTCTGTGACACGATGAGTGTATGGCTGGAGTTTGGGGGGTGGGGTAGAGAGGCTTGCATTCCTGTGCCACTCCCCCATTCCCATCAGTGTCTGACTGGACAGTGATTGGTATCCCCTCTCCAGACTTGATGTCTTCAAAATTTTCAGGTTTCTTTCTCACAGTTGAGAAAATCTAAGAGGCTCTCGACAACATGGCATGCTTCTGTGAAAATCCCACTGCCCTATATTAGTTTTCATTGACCATATAAAAAATCTTTGACTCAAATATATGATAAGCACTCAGCATTTCCCTTTGGCCACTGGAAAGCTTGAGGCTGAATATGTCAGGTCTGCAAAGTGCTGGGAATGCATACTAATGAATTTTCCATGATGCATTTTGTGCCTTGTAAACAATGACCAAG